AAGGCTCCTGTGATTGCTAGGGCACCAATTTTCTGTGCCCTGTTCAGCCAGCTTAGTGCCTTCTCTCCACACGCATGCATCCAGACGCTGGCCGCGTAGTCCATGACGAGAGCCACTGTCGCTACACACAGTTGTCTTGCTGTTCGCGGGGAAAGCATCTTCAGCCTCCTCAGGGCCAAAACGGCTGTGAGACTCTTGGTTGCCGTCTTGGCATGTGCTTCTTGTAGCGGAGCTCGCAGTCCATTGTTACCCCCAGGATCTTTGCGCTCTTCTTTGGTTTGATCGTGTCCCCTCTGATTATGAACGGCGTTTTGGAGGATCGCTCCCTGTTCCTCGTGAAGTGTACGATGGCCGTCTTTTCGCTCTCGAACTGGGCGCCGCTTCGTCTTTCCCAATCCAGGGCCTTGTCTATAATGGCTTGGATGCCTGAGCGGTTCGCCTCTGCTGTTGGGCCTACAACCCAGGCTGTGTAGTCGTCAACAAAAGCGATTGAGCCTCCGTTTGCGTTGGTTTTGTGCTGCACTAGGTCTGCGTTAAAGAAGAGGAAGAGTATCGGGTATAGCGGTGATCCTTGTGGCAAACCCGCTTGGGGCAGCTCTTGCCTTTCCGACGTGAACCCGTTTACCACGATGGTCGTTGTGCGCTTAGAGCAAAAGGCATCGATTCACATAACCAGGGACTCTAAGATGCCTCTCGCACTGAGCCTTTGCAGTAGCCTGTCCTTGAAGAACCCGTTGTATGCACCCTTTACATCGAAGCTGATCAGGCTGAGCACCTTTCTGGCTCTCCATGCTTTGTAGATTTGTTCTTGCAGCAGGAGGAGAGCCTGCTCGGTGGACCGTCTCTTCCTGGCCCCAAAGTGGTTCACAGGTAGCAAGCCAAATGTCTCTGCCGCGTAGGACAGGCGTTCCGCAATGACTGCCTCCAGTATCTTGCCAAGCGTGGAAAGTAGCGAGATAGGTCTCCAGGCTTTGGCCAGTGTGTAGTCGCTCTTCCCAGGCTTCTTCAGCGGGATGATCTTGGCGTTCCTCCATTGACCGGGGATATCGCCATCTCGAAGTGAAGTATGGAATGGGAGGAGTATTCTGTCCTTGATAACTGGCCAAAGTTGTCTCCATACCATTGCTGGCAGACCGTCCTCGCCAGGTGCCTTCCATGGTTTGGCGGACATGACCTTCTGTTCCACCTCTTCCATTGTTAGATCCGGCATGTCCACTGGTGACCGCTGAGGACGTTGTCCCTCGTCTTCGATTCTGGCTGGCAGCGGTGGGAAGAAGGTGGCTAGTAACGCTTGAGCTTGCTCTGCCTTGCCCTCTGTGATAGAACCAACAGCTCGGACAAGAGGCGGTATTTTGTCGCCCATTGTGCCACTGCCGGCTTGCAGGTATTTCGCTGCTTGCCAGATGTTCGCATCGTCGGCAAGGAAGTCGTTCCAGTGTGAGCTTTTCTGTCTGCGGATAGCATCGTGGTACTCCTTGGCTGCCGTCCTGGCTCGTTGCTCAAGTTCCAACGATGTTTGCCCCATCCTGCGTCGTGATCTCGCCTCGTTTCTCCAGAATGTGTAGGTCCGGCGGAGCCGTGTCAGGTCTGTTGTCCACCACCGCTTAGCATATGTGACGGTTTGGCTTTGGGTGTCAGGCCGTAGACTGCCTCGGTTACCGCTGCCATGAGCCTGTCTGTCTGCTGCTGGACGCTGCCACCCCAGGGGATGTTCTCTAGGTTCGCCGCCACCCTGGTCCTAATCTCGGCCCACGGTGCATTTTTGAAGAGAAACCTCGTCTCCGATGGGCGGTCTTCTACTGCGATGTCGAATGTCGTCTCGATCGCTATGTGATCAGATCCGTGGTCACAGGGATGAATCCTGCACCTAAGTAGCTGGTCTGCTAGTTCCGCAGAAGCCAGTACCAGGTCAATTGTGCTTTCTGCGTTTCCCGACTGCCATGTCTTCGTGCCTCTTGAGAGGAGGCTGCAAAGGGAGTGTTCGTCCATGAGGTTGACGATGCGGTCTCCTTCGCCTTGTCTCAGTGGCGAGACATCGTCTCCCCCAAAGAGCTGGTCGTGGCGGTTGAAGTCACGCGCCAGAACGACGTCTGTTCTAGTCCCTGTTCCGTCTCGGAAGCTTCTGATTAACTGGTCAAGCTCCCCCATTGCAGCTTCCAGTGTTTTGTCGCTGCCACCCTCAACATAGACTGACAACACCAGCGCTGCCCGATCCGGAAGTCGAATCTATGCTGCGGTAAGGTCTGCTGACGGCACTGGAATCTGCTCGAATTCCATGTCGCTTCGCAACCATAACATGCTCCGGATTGGCCAGAGCGCCTCCCGCTTCGTTGTTGGTATCAGCTTCGTCCAATTGTGATGTCCCATTGGGACCGTCACCACCGAGCCGTCTATCGTCCTCGCATATGGCTCGGAGATGGCTAACACTGCATAGTCCTTGAGCCGTCCGAGGCGGAGATGTATCAGCAATGTAGACGCAGCGAATTTCATGATCGACACTTCCTTTCAGCCGCTGACGCCGTGTTTTTCTACCGGCAAGTGACAAGGCTGGAACCTGCATTTATTGACTGCCGGGCTTGGCCGTACTCGGATATGATCCTCGTTTCCTCAGAGATCAGCGCACACGTGTATCCAGCAATTGGTGTAGTGAAGGCCCCTCTCCACCATCTCTCCCCTTCCAGCATCGATCACGTCCGCCACGGGGATTCGCTTCCAAGGTTATCTCTATTCGGTATTTAACCACGGCTGGTGGTTGCATTAGTTTGCCTGCGGGCATGTCCGGACATAGCCAGGATCCTCGCTTCCTCGAACATCATCGCACGCGTATACCCAGCAATTGGTGTGATCAAAGTCCCCGGTCGTGACATGTCGTCGGCACCGGGGTTTGACTGGTGAGGCGCTTGTCAGGCCGTCTGGGCATTGGCTGACTTTCAAGCATGCGTGTCTCAGATAGCTCAGCTAAGTGTAACGCCCCTTGACGGACTAGTACTAGAAAAATAGAGAAAAACAAGTATCTACGACCCTGCATGTGCGAGCTGACCAGACCTTGGGTGGTGCCCGTCACACTCCCCTCACCGGCAGAGACCGATCCTTCTGCCGCAAAACATGAAGACTGACCCTACAAGCGGCTTCGACAGCAAAGTCGAGAGCCATGGTGATGGTGGTGACCACAACAATGGTCCCAGCCACCATGACGGACACGGTACTGGTAGTCACGGTCCCGGAATCGGCTGCACTACTATTGAGGAGGTCTACGACAATTGGGCGGGCAGTTACGAGGTCACAGCATCGGTTGGTAGGGAGCGAAGCTTCCCGCGGGACATGTTGAGCCAGTTCCCTCACCACGGATTCACCCTCGATCTAGCCTGCGGTACGGGGGCCGTGGGAATGCTCATCCACCAGTCGCCCCTTAACGCTGCCTTCGTGAACAGCAACGTCGATCCGCCTAAGGCCTCGCACCAGCCCAAGGTCTACATCCACGGCGTGGACATCTCGACTAAGATGCTCAGCTCGCCTTGGTGCGCGCTTCACTACGACTCGACCGAACAGGGCCTTATCCAGGACGTGATCAAGAACCCTAACGCAGCCTGGGTGCAATACGCCATCGCGAACGAAGGCGCAGCAAGGCCCAGCCCGAGCTTGACTGAGCCCTTGGTTGACCACATCACCTGCTTCGGCGCCCTGCACTTCCTGAATCCCGCTGAATTCGAAGCCGTGCTGAGCCGCATGTTTATGCTGGCGCGCCGCAGCGTCATGTTCGACATTCACGACCTCTGCCCCACGTATCTAAACCACGTGCTCGAGAAGGTCGGGGAGGGTTTCAGGAATTACAACCACGTGGCTGCATACGGCAAGTTCGGGACACCGTCGGGATGGACCAAAGTCGTGGAGGAGGAGACCTTGATCTACCACTCGCCCAATGTCGGGGTTGATGTCAAGGGGATTATGGTCAGGTTTGAGCGGGTGGACTGACCGTCGACGGGTGTTACACCAACGTTGACCAGCACCTAGGTGCGCGGGGGCCTTGATGATTTGTTGGGGGAACTGGGAAACTGTTGTCTTTGGAATTTGTTGCTGTATGGGAGAAGGTCGGTGGGTGGCCGACTGCAAGCAGTGGGCGCGTGAACCCCACGCGTCCCCACATGATTGGCATTGGCTAAACGACTAAAGTCTTTTGTTCTCAGGTTATCTTCTGAGCCAGGAATCCACTGATCACTGGAATCTTATCTGTGTTTCCGTCTGTAACGGTCTCAGGTAGTATATTGCAACTAACTGATGACGACTCTACGAGTACACTGAACTTGGAGAAGAAAAGGAGAGACGACAGACTCTGGTAGCTCGCAAGCATACTTATCCTCGTAGGCGCGCTGGTCTGAGCGC